GATGATTTATATTTGATGTGGAATTTTTGTGTCGAACAGAATTCTATTAGGCCTGAAGGTAAGTTACTCAAAATTTCACACTATACTTTAGACACCTGACCTATTTCAGCCTGTGTCCCTACTTAAAGTGTATGGAAAGTCAATTATGGGCCACTTGACACCTACCATGAATGTTTATATATCCTATTGTATCAAATTCCAATCTTATAATCGATAATAAAAATACATGTATAAGTAAAACAAAGACGATTTGAGTTTAATTCCCGTTTGTTTACAAAGACAGTCCGCCATTACGTCGTATTGATCACATGACCACATGACCTCATTTTTGAAACCTTTATTAACTCATAACCTTGATAGGCTACGTTAATGTTTACAATATTTACATCAAAATGCCGAAGCGCGGTGTCACGCAATTTTGCAGCTATACCTGTAAAGAAAACAGTTAACACGGCTTTCCAAAAGACGCTGGTATGGGTCAAATGCATACAATTGAAAAGGGATGACTTCAAGGCGCCGAATGAAAACTCTCAGTCTGTTATTTATTTCACTTCAAAACTCTTTATTTTTATAGAAAATATTCTAAATTGAAAAGATGACATAGCCAGAAAAGTGTTTTAAAATTCGATTTCGCATATGAGACCCCATTAGAAATATATTATAGGTTCCTATTTTTAATTAATACTAAAAAAATCAGCATTTAAACTTATCCAAAAAGGTGAAATTTTCCAGCATAAAACGGTGGTAATGGCAGCCATTTTGGAACACCCTTGAAGCGCAGCAAAAGGGAAAAATGAAGTTGATTTTATGAAATTTCAGTTTATATGAAACACTAAACTCATAAATGATTTAAAACTATCATCTCTTAATTTTAAGTATATTTTGAGCGAGTAGTACTAGTGTTCATAGATTGTTCGAAGGGATTTCCCCTTTTCATGGGTTTTCCCCTTTTCATGGGAATTCCCTTTTTTTCATGGGAAATTCCAACCAATCTATGAACTCCCAAAAAAAAACAAGACCTAAATTCCCTACATTTCATAAATTCCCTACATTTCATAAATTCTTATAGCAAAACACCCTACATTTCATAAATTCCATACATTTCATACACTAAAAACACCTTCAATCAATTTCCTACATTCCATCAAAAAAAGCATATTAAAATAACTCTTTTTTTGAAATTTCAAATTTTAAACCTTAAAAATGGCAAATAAAATACTAGATCCAATCTCATTATCGAATTGGTTGCTTCTTTCCGATGCTTATTTCAGATGCGATTTCAAAATTAAAGATGGAACTCCCAATGAAAATTGTGTTCCACAAACAAATACAACGTTAGAAAACAATTTCTTTCCATCTTTATTTAGCGAGATGGTTTTGGAAGCTGGTTCAAATCCGATAGAAACAATCAAACATCCTGGGGAATTCGACACAATGTTGAAAACAGTTTTATATCCTAAAGATTTCGATTCAGTTTCAGACTGGATACCCGATGTTGGCGATGGAAGTGTTTTAAAGGAACCGGTAAGAAATCTTGCAAATGATGCCGATTTAGCTAGAGTGAGAGTTCTTGCTCGAAACACGATAGAAAGAGTAGGACGAGCAGTTAATCATGGATTCGAAAAACGAGTACTTCAGTATAATAATGTTGTTGAGAATAATAGGTGGGGTAATTACGTAAATTGGAAATTATATCCTTTATTCGGTCTGTTGGAACACAGAAAGGTTTCCATAGGCTTACCATATAAAATTCATCTACAAAGAGAAATCAACAACGATAAGATATTCTTTGGAGAGAATGGTTCAGATGCAAAATTAGAAATAACTAATCTCCAACTTTTCATACCCGTAATAACACCATCAATTGAAGTAGAAACGAGAATATTCAACTCGTTAACTAAAGATATTGAAATAGCTTTTCTTCATTGTAACACTGTAGGTAGCATAACTTTAACTGGAGAATCCACCACATGGCCAATCACTAACACTATTAAACCAGCAAGATATTTAATAGTTGGTTTCAAGAACTTACCAGATTCTCAAACGAATAACAATAATGTCTTTAGAGTGGCAATGAACCAAACTCAAGATCCTTTAATCCATAAAGTTCAAGTAAGATTAAACAACGATAATTATCCTAACCAACCTTTAACAATTAATCCAACCACAAAGGATTATAATGAATTGTATAGAAACTATAAAAATATGTGTGAATTATTCGGAAATCTACTTCAGTTTGAATATGTAGATTTTGCACTTAATCATCCAATCTTCTGTTTTGATCTTTCAGCTCACCAAGAAGATCTTTTCAAAACAGGAGTGAACATAAATATTCATATTGAAAAAACACAAGGAGATGTAACAGGTTCTGTTTATTACTGGAAGAAGCAAAACATTTAATTAAAATAGCAGATAGAAGAATGATAAGAATTGAGTAAAAAATACACCTTTAAAAATGAAACCAGAAACTTTAGTTAAGAAAATAATACAAGCTATTGAAACAGCTTCACCAACTACAATAACTTATAATGGTAAAAAAAATCAGCATAACTAAAAAACTTATTGATAAATACAAATATTGTAAAGTCAGAGACGATATAGACTTAGAAAGAATTGACACGAACGCAAAAGAAGGTGGATTTTTACCTTTCCTTCTACCTTTAATATTTGGTGGTATTGCAGCTGCGGGTGCAGCTACAGGAGGAATATCTGCCGCAGTCAAAGCTGCCAACGCAAAGAAAGCAGAGAATGCTCATGTGTATATGCGGTAGTTCCGGTTCTGGGAAAACTCATCTCACTTTTAACATGTTGACAACACCAAACCTTTTAGATTTCGATTCTCTCTATATCTACACAACAACACCAGAGCAATCGTATTATCAATTCCTCAAAGCTTTGGAATATATCTACCAAAGAGAGATGTTCAAGACCTATTTCAATATTACGAAGAAAACGAAGAAAAAGTGGAATTAAAAGATTTCGACTACATCGAAGGAAAGAAACCAACGGATATAAAAGTTTTTCTTACGAAAAATGTTAATGATCTAGATTTGTCTCAAATTGATAGCGAGCGAAAGAACTTACTAGTGTTTGACGACTGCGTATCGCAAAGAAATCAAGCCGTTCAACAAGAATTCTTCACGAAAGGAAGACATCACAACTGTCTCTGCAATATACCAATCCCAATCTTTTTACGGGATGGATTCTATGTTCATTAGAAAAAATGCAAATTGTTTTTTATTATTTGAATTAAACGACAAAGATTTATCTCAAATCGTTCAATCGATAAATCACGGAATGGACAGAGATACATTCAAAAAATTTTGTAAAGCTCAATGGAGAAATCTAGATGATTATGGATATGTATTTGTAAATACTAGAAAACCTGCGGGTGAAAGAGTTATAATCGACACATCATTTCTTTAAAAATGAGTAGCGATTGGAGTAATATTTTAAAAAGAAATAGAGAATATATCAAAGCTAAGAATAAAATAAAGACCCAAGTTGAAAATAACAGATTACAACAACTCGGATTAACGGAAAATCTACAAACTCTATTTCAACCCATATTAAAATCTCAAGAGGATATTAAAAGGAAATTAGAATATAAACCTCCTATAGAACCTACACCTCCTATAGAACACCCCAAAGCGATTGAATATGATGGTATTATAATTAGGACATTAGATGATATAAATCGTCTTTTTTCAAACCCTAGCCCAGATTTACCAAAGAGCATTTCACCAATCGTTGATAATCAAGGTTTATTGTTTAATGGATTTAGAATAATATTTAGTCCAAATTCCCCTTTATTCAAAATAGATACAAAAGATTACATATACACATTAACGAGAGGATTAATAGATTTAATGAATGGCGAGGATGTTGGTATTGCCGATTATAAGGATTTAGTAGCATACTCCAAATTTTTAGATGCAATAAGAAAGTCAGGACCCGAAACAAGAAGATCGAAAAAAGTTAATTTATATATAACAAAAGTTATTGAGGAAGAGGAGATAGGTGATTATCCACCAATCACACAAGAAATAGATGAATTTGAAGATATGGTATCTGGAGAAGGTATAACGTTTTTATCCGACAACAACGAAGAATTGCTTAATAGATTACGAGTAATATTAGCGGCAATGAAGGAAGGACATCGATCGCACAGACAATATAATGAAGTAAATTGTATATTAAAAAGACTCCTAGAGAAAGGTATTATAGATAAAAATGATAATAAAAGCGTAATAAAAAATGTCAAATAAAGAACAACTATTCGTCATCACCTCAAATAAATCAGACATTGAATTATCTCTAGATTATGAGTACGAACTCGATCGCAATCAAGAATATGAATTGGGATTAAAGTATTTCTCTGTTTACAATTCCATTAGAAATATCAACGAAAAAAATAACCAAATAAAAATATCAACAGATAATGGAGTTACATTCAAAACCATACGTTTACTACCAGGAAGCTATGAATACATAGCCATTAATGAATACTTATCTAAATACGCAGGAAGCGTCAATGGTAAAAACAATATTGAATTCGAAGGTAATTTGAATCTAAACAAAATAAAATTGATATTAAGAAATAATTGTCAAGTTGATTTCAACGTAGAAAATTCATTGAATACTTTACTAGGCTTTGATAAAAAAAATATACACCCAATCCACTTTAGCACCACACAAAGCTAATATCGAGAATAATATCGATGTCATAAATATACATTGCAATTTGATAAATGGTGGATTTTTCAATAAATACAAACGTCAGATTATTTACAGTCTTCCAACATTCACTGTTTCTATTGGATATAGAATTATAGAGAAACCATTTACCACTTAATTCCTTTATGATTAAAGATATAAATCTGGAAATCAAAGATGGTAAAAATAGGTTTATAGATTTTGGTTACGAGGAAATTGTTATTCAACTTCATTTAAAACAAAAAAACTCATCAAAAATTCATTCTGATGGATCATCATTAGATTCATTCTGATGGATCATCATTAGATTCATTTGTAAAATAATCAAAATCATCAAATACATAATCATCATCCAAACACTTCTCATCTTTATTGTTGTAAGGATACATAATTCCTTCACTGTTTGGTGCTTTTCTCTTAACGAGATTCAGATAACTTCTGAAAACTTTCTTTTGTTTTTCATTGGGAATAACTATTCCATCAGTAAAACTTTTTATACAAGGTTTATCAAATTCATTTGTTACGTCATGTCCACTAGCTAATTGAATGTAGTCTTCTACCTTAATCTTATAGTTAGAGTAACCCTTAAACGTTTTCTTTTCTTTTAAAACACCATCGGAAGTTAGAATGATATTGTATTTTACTTTTGGTGCTAAATATAAACCAAATATGATTCCACCATCACCATAATCATTCTTCCCTTTGCTATATTCGTTTTCAGACACCAACCCAGCTTCATTTAATTTATCCCAATTGCTAGACGAAATGTATAAACTATCAGTATCTGTATAGTATATTCCGGCTTATAAAATCCATCTAATAATTTCATGCAATTACTAGCAACCATATCTCCTTCTTTTTTGTATTTATTCCTTAATTCCTTCAAAATTAAAATATAATCTCTGTATGATGGAGTTTTAAAATTTTCTTCGTAAACTATACCATCTAATTTTCTAATAATTTTACCACCGGATTTCACTATTTCTTGAATATCAACTGATGTTAAAACGTCGTGACAGAAACCATTTCTGAACCTGATTTTACTCCCAGTTTCCTTCTGACCTATTCTATTCGTAAAAGTTATTTTATCTTTAGCTGGTATGGGTTGAAAGAACATGTCTTTGGGATATTCAAACCAGACTTTTAAAATAGCAGTTCTAGGTCTGAATTTTTGTTTATTGAAGAGTTTCACAAATTCTTTTTCTTCTTCTGGTAGAAACGCTCTTGCACTTTCCGCTTTAGGATATTCACCTTCTGTCATGGCGGAAGCGTACAACCCATTAGCGTCAAACGCCATCAGTTTAGAATAGTCCAGTTCTTTGAGTTTAGCGTGAACTTCCGTTTTATCTTTTGGGTTAACACTGTATTCTTTGAATAAATCTATTATTCCTTCAGTGTTTCTTTCATTGTATTCTTTTAATATGGCGCAGATCTCATTCGTTTTATCCGTTTCAAATGATTTTCGATTTGCCGAAACTCTTCCTTTTTTTAATGGATTGTCTGATAAAATTTCTTATAAAAGGATGAGTATGTGAGTAAACTTTTTCTATGTTTTGTTTTTCCGTATGTTTGGGAACCATTCTAGTAGTTTCATACCATTCTTCTTCAACCATTTCTTTATTGTAATGATATAAATAATACCAACCCTTTAAAGATAAAGAAGGAGGCGTTAGATTATTGGAAACGTTTTGGAAGACAGTTTTTTTCATGGCTTGATTGTATTTTATCAAACAAGCTCCGAGACACAATGTATCTCTTTTAGTGTAAGTTTCCCATTCGGGTCTTAAAGAGTCCCAGGTTTCTTTGGTGAATTTTGCAATATTAACATCGGTGATCTTTCTCAAATTCATCGGTAGATTAGATGAATTTCCCCAGGCCGCCAAACTAGTGCTTTGATGTTTAAATGAACAAGTGAAAGATATATTTTGTAAATAGTTAGAGTTACTCATTATTTCTTTCTGTCTTTTCCATTTTTTCTGTAATCTTTCTTCTGTATATGGATTAGATAAAGGAAGAGAAAGAATTTTATTATCTACTACTAGTGGACATTGTGTTAGTTTTTTAACGTTTTGAAGTGCAATCCAGTTGTCAAAACCGCTACCGTTATGGGAAATTAAGGTTAGTCTTTTCTGATCTACTTTTCCTAAACGTTGTTACATTTGATCTATACAATCTGTACCTACAAATATTTCTACTATATTAGTCATGAGTATGTTGTAATATTCTTCTGAAATGGGATCTGACGGCTTAAAATCTAGAGTCTCACTTAAATCACTTAAGTAATTATTATAATCATCTAATCTTTTCCTCAGTTTTTCTAAATTAACTAAAGTACAACAATAAGGAATGGATTTATTCGTTTCTTTTTCGCAATAGGTTTCGCAATCCCAAGCGTATAAACAGTTATCGGATATGTTCGAAAAAACGTTTAGTTTTAACTGTGCGAAACACATTACAGCGTCATCATCTTTACAAGTTCTCCATACATTTTCATTGTAATTATCTTCTATTTCTTTAATGCCCAAAGCTTTGTTATTTCTTCTTATCAAACAGAAATGTTCTTTGTGTAAATAAAATACCCAATCAAATTCCTCTAATACTTCTTTGGTTGAAGATGACTGTCTTTAGGGTTATAGATTTGAAAATTAGTATTAAATTTCTTATTGAATTTAGAAATTCTAGCAGTTGTCATAACTCCTTTTCTGTTTGATTTTTGAAAACTGTTGATGAAATCTTGAAATTCCTTTGTTAAATCTGTGTTTGTGATGTAATTTACACACTTTATAAAACAATAACAATCGGTTAGTATGTAACAATTTTTTCCTATGTATTCATTTATCTTTTTAAGTAGGTTAACCCCACTTCCCTTTTTTGATCTTTCTACTATTCTAAAATTATTTTTGCGCAAAATAATCTCTCCTGTAAAATACCAATCAGATGTATCAGAGGTTTCATGCATCTTTGAATAAATAATCTGGAAAGTTTGAGCATTGTATCCAGATAATCTCATGTCTTGTTTGTGTTTTCCATCTTGATTTATTTGACCATTTATTTCAATTAGGCCTTTAATTTTATAATCCTTAAATAGAATAATTATTCTCTTGATTAATTCTGAAAAAAGCATAATTGAGGTTGATATTTTAATTGCATTCTCCTCTTTTTCAAAAACTTCAGCTACATCATCAATTATATATTCAAATTCTTCTTTATCTTTTTCACTAAATTTGGTTGAAAATATATTAGGTATTGAATTGAATATCAATGAAAAATATGTTTTAGATAATGGTTCGTTTAAATTTCCAATTTTATCCATTCTTTTTTAAGTATCTATTTTTAACTAGGAATTTTCTTGTCTCGAAAAAAAAAATGAATAATTTAAAATTTCCTTTTATAATGAGCTTTGATCAATCCACAAGAACACCACTACCCTTTTTTATTTCTTTGAAATTGTTTTTATGGAAAATCATTTTTCCTGTGAAATACCAATCGGAGGCATTCGATTTATTATCCAGCGCAAGGAAGAAATCGACAAAAGTCATGGTATCAAAACCTACAAATTTTATGTCTTGTATGTATTTTCCATCTTGAGTTATCTCTCCATCTAATTCAATTTGTCCGTTAAATGATAAAAATTCGTCAGCGATATGCTCAATAACATTGGAAAAAAGTTCACTTGATATAAATTTATCAATTTTATTCATATTTTTTAAAGCAACTATTTTTAACTAGGAATTTTAACTTTTATTGATGATATTTCTACATCAAATTTATCTAAAATTTCATTGAATTCTTCTAATTCTTCAATGGTTATGTTCTTATCCTCTCTCGATCTTTCGAAAAAAATGGATAATTTATTAAGATATGTATTTAAAATTTCTGTTTTCCTTTTATAATGAGCTTTCTGTTTTGATGTAAAACCTTAAGTAATCAAACCACAAGATGAAGTTTGAATGGCAGTGAACGCGGCTAATACAGTTGGGACAATTATTGGAAGCATTAATCCACCGGTTATGGCTGTTGCCACCGTTATCCCTATTGTTAAAACTGTACTTAATGTGTTGAAAACAGAATCGATTCTACTCCATGTTTTTCTACATTTGTTGAATTGTTTTACTTTTTCTTTTAGTTCATTTTGTTTTTCTATCATGTAGTTTTGTCTACTTTCGAGTTCCATTTTTAGGTAATTAAATTAAGTGAACTTGTGATAAAGTTACTTTTTGTTTATTAAATAAAAATTGCATATTTACCAAGGATATTTGTTCTTTCAAATCATTAATCTTATTCAGATGAACTGAAAATTTTGGTTTAGTGTCAATATTAAAAAACATAGTAACAAATGCATCATCTCTTATTAAAAAATTTTGTTGTTGTTGACTTTTATGAATATCAATTGAGGTAAATATATCATTAACAACAAAATATAGTTTTACGTATTCAAAGTCTGTTGCTCGTAAAAACTGATAATTGATTATTTCTTTTTGTGGTCTTGGATTTCTAATAATACTTGCTGATGGTGGAGATTCCGTTTCCAATAACATATCAAAATTACTCAATGAAAGTTCATCTTCTTCATTATCTGGTGTGATTAACATTCTAAACCTATCTATATATTTTCCACTCGTTTTAATTTCATATAAGTGATCTCTCTTGGTGTTTTCATCGTTAATTTCTAATTCTTTAGTTTCTACATTTTCTGTACCATTGATAAACTGAAGAACTTTGCGAGCGTTAAATTTTAAAAAAAACGAGAGTTTTGTCTGAAGAATATTGAATCAACTTTTACCTGAAAAGGAAAATTAATTTCAATTATAAGTTTTCCTCGGAAATTAAAAAATATTGGATAACGATCATCATAACCATCTGAATTAAATATATTTTTGGGGTAAATAACATAATTTGGAACAGAATATACTCTTATATTTGCTGTAAATCCATATTTTTTATATTCATAGTCTTTTGATTTATCAATATTATCAGTAATAGAAGGATCATCATGAACTCCCATTACTCCAAATGGAAGTTTAAAATAATATGATTCTTTCTTGAGAAACTTTTTTTCTAATGCGAGTATATTTTTATCCTGTTTTAAAACTAGGTTATTAATAGTGGTTATCTGTTGTTGAATAACACTATCATCAATATTTTGTATTTGTTGTTGAATATAGGTTTTGATTTCGCTATCATCTATGTTTTGTATTTGTTGTTGAATAACAATATCAATATTTTGTATTTGTTGTTTAATATTTGTTAGGTCTTTTTGTAATTCACTGTTAAGTTTAGTTTCCAGAGCATTTAATTCCTGTTGAAATGTATCTTCATCTGGAATGTTATCTATCAATTGTTGAATGTTTAATTTTTGTTTTGCAATCTTATCCTCTAATTTAGATATTAATGAAATTAACTCAGTTTTGTTCACTATGTTGACCAATTCTTTTTGAATAAAACTTTTTAAACTTGTTACTTCTTGTTGTAATTTAGTATCATCAATAAAATCTTTATTATTCATTTGTCGTTTGAAGAATCTTTTCACATCATTTATTCTTTCTTTTAAATGTTCTTTATTAACTTCAATTAAATTTAATTGTTCCATTAAATATTTCTTGTGAATGGCATCATTATCATTTTCCAGAGACTTTAAATTAGTTATGCTAAAATTGTTCATATCTAAATCACCTTGAAGAGTGTCTCCGATTTTATCCACAAAGTAAGGTTTTGCTTTATTTATCCACGCTGTTGTGTTAGGTTTTTTAGTTTATAAAGATAAAGAACCTAATCCAAACTTATTCGCCATTTTTATTGAGTTAAATTATTACAATTTCTTCGAACTGTTTTCCTAAACTCAACTGATATAAAACCCAAAGTGAAAGTTGACCACAAAACTTTTGTCCCGGTAATTGAATTTGAAATGTTGAACATTTGATTGGTTTAGTCAATTGGATTATCTCTTCAGAGGGTTCTAATCCATAAGAATCGAAGAAATAAAAGTCAGAGTCTTTGTACAAAGCAGAATGATGAACTCCTTTTTGATCGGAAGTTTGTATATTTGTTATAGCGTAAAATTTACCTTTCTTATATTTCAGATCATTTATTTCATCTCTCATGCAATAATAAAACTCATTCGCCCATCTCATAAGTTGAAAGTTTGTGGTTGTATCGGTTCCATATTTATCGAGAAATTCATTCATATTTAAAAGTCGGTTTTTTGAAGTTCGTTTTGATAAAACCTACCTATGATTTGTTCTTTGTCTTGATCGATTAATTCATATGTTGGAGGTGATGTTCGTCCAGTATCCAACGTAACCTTTTTCGAATTTACTTTTATATTTGAAAATACGAACGCGATCTCCGACTTTAAATTTGGGTTTGATATTTAAAATCTTTATTTCATTTTCGTAGTTATGTTGCGCGTTAATTGACTTTATAATATTTGGATTACTCGAGGCTTGTGTTGGTGTGACACCTATAGATGAATGAATTTTGTTATTGTATTCATCTACAACCTCTGGTAATATTTTAAGCCATTTTTGGGATTTCAATTCAGTGAACTTTTTGAATAATTTATTTTTTAGAGTCCTGTTAAATCTTTCAATAACTACAGCTTTACCTTCGTTATGCGTACTGTAAATTTCAAATCCCAAAGATTTCATATTTTTGTTATAAAATTCACTTCCTTTATCTACCCACAGTTTTTCTGGATGACGGTTAGATTGTTTCATAATCGTTTCAAATGAGTGTTTGACTGATAATCCCGTTTTGTTGTTGAGAGGAATAACCCATACATATCTCGTATATAAATCTATAACTGTTAAGCAATATTTAAATCCTCTTTCGACTGGCATATGAATTAAATCGGCTGACCATATTTCATCTTTTTCAAACACTTTGACTTTTAAAAAGTTTTTAGTTTTTCTAAATTCTTTATGAATTTCATCCGCCAATCCCATACCTGATTTCATCTTTGCTTTTAACAGTTTAATGATTAATGCTCTTTCCATTCTCTCTTTGAAAGTTGGATATGGAATATTTTCAAGTTCGATTATCATTTGTTTGTCTGCTTCGTGTCTGAAGTTTATGTCTTTGTTTCTGTATAAAATATCATGTTTAAGCGCAGCGGCGTCAACTCTATTGACTGGTTCTTCCCCTGGTTTGGGTTTATTGTTTTCGTCTAATCATAGATCTAACCTTGTGCCTGGACCGGTGTAATTGTGCCCTGCGAGATGTTTTTCTCCGGGATATTTCGCCCATGGAAATCCAGGAAGAGAACCCAATGATTTTTGTATATCTCCTGAACCGAAATAAGTTTTTGGAGCGTGAGCGACAATCATTTTTATCCTATAACTTTAAAACCTTTTCCTTTCCTTTCTTCTAATCTCCTGTTTCGCAGTTCTCCTATTAGTTCTAATTCTTTCAACTCGTTAGATTGTTTCACTGTATCGCTTATACTCTTTCCAGCTTCCGCGATTGAGCCTACGGCTTTCGCTCCGCTTGAAATGAGTGATTTGTTTTTTGAAACAAAGCTAGCTACTTTTGGAATTATTGTTTTACCTAGAGAAAATAATGAAGATAAGATACCGTCGCCCGAATAATCTTCGAATCTGTGTTGTTCGTGTTTTAACATTAAGCTCATCCTATTTTTAAAGGAGTTAATTTAGTCTGTTTTTTTATCCAAAAAGAGTTATCTCCCTTCTACTAAAAATGTTATGTTATTTTATATAAGGGTATTTTTAATATGCTTTTTTTGATGGAATGTAGGAAATTGATTGAAGGTGTTTTTTTTTTTGGTGTATGAAATGTAGGGAATTTAGAATGTTTTATGAAATGTAGGGTATTTTGCTGTAAGAATTCATGAAATGTAGGGAATTTAGGTCTTGTTTTTTTGGGAGTTCATATATTGGTTGGATTTTTCCTATGAAATGAAAAAAAGGGGAATTCCCATGAAAAGGGGAATTCCCTTCGAACAATCTATGAACACTAGGTCTACTTTCACTTTATCATTATTTGGTAGGCCTATCCTGTGTGTGTGTTTTACCAATTCAGATTTGGGAATGTAGGAACTCATGATATTATGAAAATTACCTATTGTCTTTAAATTAAATTATAATTAAGTTACATGTATTATAAAATAGTTTTAATCTTCTAATGACTTGTTCCGTATATCACTTATAAAATGAGTGTGAAGAAATCATACAAATAACAACCATATTTCTCCAATATTTACCCCATTCATCATGGAATATCTCAAAGACTAATCAAGATATTTTAATTCTGTAAAGTTTTTCATCGAGAGGAGATATGAATATTTTTCCATGTAGAATTTCAAGATGTTATCAACAAAAATGACCAAGTTAGCGATCGGGTTGTATTTCAACGAAAAAGTTAACAAAAATCATTTGCCACGCCCACTTTTTAAAGACCTTAAATATTGCATCATAACTTTTTTATTTTTTAATATATTTTGGTTCTGTTTTCACTTTTTCCAACTACTAGTACACCATAACCCATCTACAAAAACAAAATTATTTTATTTTAATTAATTCTATTTTCCGTTTGCATTTCTAGTTAAACTGAGCAACACCGTCTCAAAGAATGGCTATGCGAAATCTCCAAACGTGCAAAGTATTTATGCCATAACATGTCATAATTCTACAAAAGACCTCGCAGATCATTGATCAAAATCCTTTTGAAGCGGGTGATTTTTAATCCAAAATGAACGCTACGGACCAGTCATTATTTTCCAATCGATCTTCATTTTCATGAATTTCGGGCAATGTCATCGTCCTGGTCTGGCCTTTCACTGTAATTCTCCCATCCCCCAAGACGCCTAACTGGCTAGAACTGGTAGTCCACCACACCCCCAAACATTTCGTATTCATCTTCTTCCTCTTCGTACTGAGATGAACTGTGAGTGCTTGACGAATTGTTTTCATTATAATGCATAACGCCCACCACATTGTTTATCTGTCAGTGTAGCGTTCCCAGAAACCACAGCGTCAAGTCCATAATTAACGTCACGCATACATTAGCGTACATTCGGATATTTCCGGAAAGTGCTCAGGGTTTTGCGTACAAATTATCGATTCCCATCAAAATATCATTTTTTCACCCCGACAAATTTTTTTTCCATGAAAAGGATAGTGGCATTCAATTCAATCATTAATTATTTATCAAATACAAAAGTACACCATATTAAGACTTTATATACTCTTTAAGTATGAAAAGTAGTAAATGTTCTCTTGGCTCATGTCATTTCAAGACACATGTGGATTTTTGTAGCACCTACAACCAATTATCATTGTAAATGCTCTTGGTAAGTGTTCTTGTGTAACCTCCAGGGCCCTCTTCTATTATGTCTAGGGGTGAGGAGTGGGATGGTGGTCATAATTTAACGGGTTATTTTGCTTTAGTTGGTGCTCAGGATAAACACAGTAGTATCCTACAAATATAGTGATAAAGAATTAACATTTGCTATGAAAAGTTTAATTTAGTCCAAAACCAGAACTGAACCAGTTGCTTATTACAATTGATAAAGTAACCCTTAAAATACATTAATTATTTCAACTTTATGCACCGACAACAATAAAGAGAATAATATTACCAGCTGGATTAGTACCTATAGTCGTATGCTAATTAAGTTGGCCATTAAATCAGATAATAGAATCTGAGTAAATCTCTAAACAAACTAGAACTAGGCATAGAAAGGGTTAACAATAATCTAAATTGCAATAAAAGGGAAAGAAATTAAAATGACTCATTTACTACATAAGACAATTTTCCCTAACAATAACATTGCAGTAATTTTGTTATAATATAGCAAATACATATTTAAACTCAATAAGAACTAGAGCCACTCGTGGCACAGAGTGGGACTTTGCAAATGTAGCAAATTGCAAAAGACCCCGAAAAAATCATCCTTCCACGATAATTAGATCAAGCGCAAGAACAGTCTAAAGTTGAGAAATTTTCATTTTTTAGAAGATTCTAATACCGGAAGTAGACGTCAGACCTCACAAATGAAAGTATCAGCAGATAGCCAAGGTCAATGACCTTTGATCTTGTAAAAGAGAAGGTCTAAAAAGGTCAAGATCAAGAGATATACGTCATCAAAATTTCTAATTGCACACGACTATAAAACCGGAAGTTGACATAGGACAGCAAATATGAAAGTACAAATAGATAGCCAATGCCAATGACATTTGATCCTACACAGGTCAAGGTCAACAAAGGTCAAGGTCAAAAATTGAAAATTT